AAAGAAAAGGAAGGTTTAATACTTGCTGCTCAAAAACAAGCATTACAAACTAATGCCATGAAAGTGAAGATACAAAAATCCACCAATAATCCAAATTGCTGACTTTGCAACAACAAAGTCGAAACTGTTTCACATTTAATATGTGAATGTAGCAAAATCGCACAAACTGATTACAAAGCTGGACATGACCGAGTTGCTAAATTAATCCACTGGTCATGATGTAAAAAATACGACTTACCTGTATCCAAAAAGTCATGGGAGCATAAAGTGGAAAAAGTTATAGAAAACGAGAAGGTGAAGATCTTGTGGGACTTTCGAATACAGATGGATTGTCATTTGGAACACAAAACGTCAGATATCACAGTTGTTGAAAACCGAAATGTACAATTTATTGACATCGCGGTACCAGGAGATGCCAGAGTCGAAGAAAAAGAACTGGAAAAAAATCACGAAATATTGCGACCTGGCCATCGAAACTACGCGATTATGGATGAAACATGTAACACTGATACCCATTGTCATCAGGGAACTTGGTACCATGTCCAAGAATTTTATAAGATACATCAACAAATAGCAGCTTCCTGCAATAACACCAGTGGAACTGCAAAAAACTGTGCCACTTGGAACATAGTACATCTTAAGAAGATACTTGATTGATACCTAGGACACTGGCAGCATTAGCACCAGTCAATGGTATTTGTGATGCATTTTTGAATGTTCAAGATGACTGACTTTCATGTTTAATGAATAAAGTAAATAATAATAATTTTGTTGTTCGTCATACAGTCAAACAGATGTTCAGACTGGATTTGGCACTATGGTCTACCTACTGAATCCTGTCCTAGGACTATCTGACCTACAAGGTCCCTTCCAAGTCTGTTAATCTGTAACCTAACCTGGGATAGGCAGAGGTGGATGTTTGATGGTTGTTACAGATATCGTTGCAGAATGTAAGCTGTTCTGAGTAAAGCTGCCTTTTGCAATTGACTGATAGTGAATTTGTCAATGCCAATGATGTTGAAGTGGTGCTTCAGTTGTTTTGGGATTGCACCCAAGGCACCTATTATTATTGGGACTACCTTTGCTTGCTTCTGCCACAGTCATTTTATTTCTATTTGCAGATCTTTGTATTTATATTTTATGGTTTTCTCCAGTTCTTTCTCTTCTATTATGCGGTCTCCAGGTAATGCCACGTCACTAGCCAGTTACTGACACATTCACTTTTTATCTTTTTTATCGACAGTATGCATTTGTTCTTAAGACTTGGTCTTGTGCAACCAGAATTAGTGGCTTTGTCTTTTCAACGTTCCTGCTCTTAATCATTTTCAAGTCTTGATTATATCTGTTTTCCCTGTTTTTTCCCCTGTATTGGCCCTGTATTGCTTTGTCTTCCCATGCCTCCATTCTGCTCTTCGTTTGGTCTTTCTTGTAGGCCAGTTTGCTCTCCAGTAATCAGTAAGCCTTCCTCGTATACTAATTTCAGTGCATCTTCCTCACTGTCCTTCAGATATTCTTCTAAAGCCCATTTTTTTCTTCAACTGTCTGATGTACTTGCGACATTCCACACCCATACATTTTCCTTGATAGGTATAGAGTCTGTTAATGATTCATTGTCATTATTTTTGGGTCTTTCTATCCAGGGCTGCTGCTGCTGCTGCTGTTGTTGTTATTATTATTATTGCAAAAGAGACTGATTGTATTAAAAGACAAATACACTTAGATCAAAGAGTTTTATAAACCATGTCAACATAAAAGTTTATAATCTAACCATTTGTTAGAAGTCTAGGTGCTACTAGACTATTGTTTTTCATGCAATAGATCAGCGGTTCTCAACCTGGGGGTCGTGACCCCTTTGGGGGTCGAACGGCCATTTCACATCGCCGGCCGTTCGCTTACCCCGCCCACTCCCAATCTATTACTGCCTCCTGAGTCCCAGCTGATGGCTAGAGGAAAAAAACTGTTTAAATTATTGCTGCGGGGCTTCAAAGGGCTGCCCTACAGCCAGTGGTGGGATTCTGCCGGTTTTAGGGGGTTTGGCCGAACCGTTTGTTAAATTGATGGCTTGCCCCGCCCCTCCGCACCACTATTTATTGCCAATAAATAGTGGTGGGCGAGGGGCGGGCGAGCCAGCAATTTAACAAATGGTTCGGTGTTTTTTTGTAATTTTATTGACCGTGGAGCTTCAGCATAGGCTAATTAGTCCTTGATTAGATCGGCTGCCGACTCTCAGCTGATTTGCTCTCAGCTGTTTTGCTCAGGGCTCTGCTGCTTGCTAGCAGATTTTTTTCCCCCTAGCTATGCTGAAAAACAAAACTGAAAGTAAAGTAGGCTGTTGGCTTTGCTGTTGCTGCAACATTGGAAAAATTAGGCAGGCAGATTTCTTTTCTTTTTCCTCACCAAAAAAGGTAGGTGCAAACCATGGGAAATTTAGGGAAAAAGAGGAGAGTTCAAGATTTTAAAACACAAAGGAAAAAAAGCTCTATTTAACTAGGGAATTGTAATAATTGAGATACTATTAATTGTATATTGTGTTGAAAGCAGAAATGGTTAAGTTGTGGTTTGGAGGAATATATGGGGGAAATTATTTGGTTTATTATTATTGGTAAATATAATAAATTGATTTGTAAGAAATTGGATTGCATGGAAATAATTGGAATATTCATGTTCATATTGATTAATATACAAAAAAGGTAGTTATATAACTAATTGATTTATATTAAAATGCTGAATTTATATTAACTGTAATAATACATAATTAACCAATGTGAGGATGGATATAAAAATAGATGACAATGGGAAGGGGTATAATATAGAATAGAAGGGAAAAATTGAATTTGATTAAGATTAGAGATGAGGATGAAGGGTAATATTGGTTTTTTACAAAAATAGATGAGAAATAAATATGGCAAAAAGGAAATATAGAAATTGTAAATTTAATTGAAATGACTAACCACTGTTTAAATTTGTGAACCGCCAAATACTCTGTTTAAAGAAAATACATTGTATGTTTGTATGTGTGTCTCTAATTATTGTTATTTATTCATATTTGTTCTCTTTTATTCTTTAAAGTTTAACAATTCATTCTTTATCTTAATATCTTTATATTTGTTTGGGGTTGGCTTTCTTCCCTTTCATCTTTTTTATTGTACAGCAATCTTTCTCCTCAAACCTACCACCTCTCTCTTTTCTTTCCTTCTTACTTTCTCTTCCTCCCCCTCTTCTTTTCCTCCCTACTTCCTCTTCCTTTCTCCTTTTCCTCTCTTCCTCCCTCTCTTACCCTCACTCCTACTCTAATTTCCCTTCCCTTCCTTCATCCCTCTCTATTACTGTATCCCTTTATGCATATGGACTACTCAGAGGGCTGAAAAAGTTATTTCTGATTGGTCCTCGCACTTTTGACCAGTCATCGAACTTACGACTGTCCTCACATTTTACGTTTTTGCCCTATCTTGTCACCATGGTGAAGAGAAGCAGTTGTGAAATGAGTGACATGGTTGTTAAGAATGCTACAATGGGCATAAATGATGACCAGTCATAAGTGTAAAGACCGGTCAAAAGTGCGAGGACCTGTCAGAAATCACTTTTTTCAGCCCTCTGGGTAGTCCTTTTGTGCATATGGACTACTCAGAGGGCTGAAAAAGTTATTTTTGACTGGTCCTCGCACTTTTGACCAGTCCTTGAATTTACGACTATCCTCACATTTTATGTTTTTTGCCCTATCTTATCACCATGGTGAAAAGAAGCAGTTGTGAAATGAGTGACATGGTTGTTAAGAATGCTGCACGGGCATAAATGTGAGGATGGTCATAAGTGTGAGGACCAGTCAAAAGTGCGAGGACCTGTCAGAAATGTCTTTTTTCAGCCCTCTGAGTAGTCCCTATACACATAGCCATGGCCACCCGGTCACATGACCAGCTAGCCACGCCCACCCAGTCACATGACCTCCAAGCCACGCCCACAAAACAAGCCACGCCCACAGAACCGGGAGTAAAAAAATTTAGAACCCACCCCTGGTTGGGGGTCACCACAACATGAGGAACTATATTAAAGGGTCGCGGCATTAGGAAGGTTGAGAACCACTGCAATAGATCAACAGAATTATATTTTGGAAATTATTTATTTGAATTAGTAAAATCTGTGCATACAGCTGAAATCAAGATTACAGCCTCACCTATGGAGAAAGAATTTTTTCCTCTCTAGATCAGGGTGTCAAACTCGGGGCCCACAGGCCAGATGTATCAGGCACTGGTCATGCCCATCCCCGTTTAAGCAAAGGGGGGAGAAGTCGCGATATGGAACGTGATGACAACATGATGCTGCAAGTTTGATATCCCTGCTCTAAATCATTCTAAAGGCATGCACATAGGTATCACATCTCTTTTTACTAATAAAGATGACCAATTACATTCGAATTTCTAGTATCTTAATCAAGAAGAATAAAGTCAGAAATAGTTAATTGCAATTAAATATTAGACTTAACTACTATGATTTTTTATTAGGAATTTTGATGTTTAACTTAGGGTTTCCTTTGAACTTTGCAGTATTGGCAGGATTTTAGTTTCCCCAGGCTTTCAACTAAATTTTAATCAAGGAAAAGGATTTCTGGCAGGGTAAGAAGAGAATTTAAACTGATCAATTTGATGAAAAGCCTGTTCAACTGTCTTCCAGATGATTTTTTATAAACATTTTAGAAAATTGTATCATTGGTCTACCTGGGGGATGAGAGAACTAAATTCATAGCCAGTTCAAATTCTGTGAAGTGAAACCTATTATTTTAACTACGAGTCACAATTTACTTTGTCTGGATTCAATATCTTCATTACTCTTTAGCAAGTAGAAGAAATTACAAGATTGAAAGTAATTGCTGGGAAACTATTGAAATGAACATTTTTGTTCTGTCTTGTACATCTACTAGCTATAATTTAAGATTAACTTATTGGCAGCTCCTCAGAATACTTCAAACTAGAGATACAATTTCTCAACTCTATGTATCCATTTACCATGATAGAACATACATTTCCTTTTGGCTGGGGAGCGACGGGAGGATTTGCCAATGGAAAAGCAATAGCAGGAGCCAATGGAGTTGGGATCAGATGATCTTCTTTTATCGGTGTTTCTGGATTTCTAATTAGAAGACTTGTGACCTCCACTGAATCAATTTTCGTTGAATCATTAATCTCTTAAATCAGAAAAATATTAGTGCATGATTTTTCATATTTGATGAAATTGAACAGTTTAGTAAGTAAAAACAAATAAAAATGGACCAGTAAAAAAAGAGCATGATTTAAACCTGAATACTGAAAAGCAAAGTTCACATGAGTCCAATACTCCAAGACAGCTATCTACTTAATTGTAGGTAACTATTTCAATGTAAATGGGATTTTCTTCTGAATAAACATGATTATGGCTACAACTCAAGCTTTATTTACACATGGAATAACAATATATAGAATGTAAACTCAATTACATATAAGATGAACATTGGGTTAATCCAAACATGTCACAAAACATGTTCTAAATTCTATTTCAGTCTCAGTATAAATTTCTGAATACAAACATTTTGCATGAGAAAGGATTTCAAATTCATCGACTATAAAAACATAAAAATAAAATGCCTTCCAGGCAGAGATTTTTTAAAAAAGAATAAAGCATTTAAAGTGCTCATTTGCAGAATAACAAATAATCCAGATAACCTTCACTATGTGATTCTTTGCTTTTGTATATAAATTTTAGAAGTTCCACAAGCTGTCAAACACCGGAATGAAAGCAATATACCTAATTCAGCCCAGATATCTTCCATGTCATAAATAAAAAATGTTGAAGGCAGCTAAAATGTGCAATATTTTTAACTACAGATTCTCATGCAATAATGAAATCCAAACTCAAATGCTGAAATGCCATTCTGCCATTTATGGTGCAACTTACCCATTTCAATAATTTCTGTATCACTCAAAGACTTTCTAAGTGAAAGTTCTCCTGGGGGCACTGCAGAAATTTGAATTTGTTCTGAATACTGTGAAGGACTGTTAGGCCACTGCAGATTGCTGGCAAGCCTTGCTCTCTCCTCTCTTGCCGTAGGATCATCCCAAATTATCTGTTCATTCTGGGATGGCTCAGTATTGACATCAGTTGCTCCATGATGTGACTGCCTGAGACATGAGGATATACAGCAAGTGTTTGAAAAAAATGAGGACATAACTTAAGCTGCTTTGAGCAGTCTTCCTAATATTACAGCCCCGAAATCTTAAAATATTCTAGCTACTGTGTTTCCCTGAAAATAAGAAAAGGCCTTATTTTTTTTTAACCCCCAAAATAAGTACTTGGATTTATTTTTGGGGAGGTCTTATTTTTTTGGAGATGCAGGAGGCGCGAGCTTGCCATACCTGGGGGGGGGGGCACAGAACTGCAACCATCGGAGCTGGCGAGTCCAACAATGAGCAAGGCTGCGGCAGCAGTGGGACACATCAGGACAGCACTGGCCAGCCGCTTGTCAGGAGGCTGCTCTCCTGGCTGGGTCTGGCTGTGAGCAGCACTGGCAGGCAACTAGGTGCGCGGCTGGCACAAAGAACAGGTAGGCAATGGTGGCTACGGGACTTCCGGCGGCAGCACAACAAAGCCGCTTGTCAGCTGTTCACTCTTGCAGACATATATGCGCTTCCAGCCATGCTTCCCAGGACTCTGCACCATGCCGCCGGCCCGACCACACTGCTGCGACTGGATTTGCCATTGCCTGCCTTGCCACTTGCAGCCAGACCCGGCCAGAAGAATGGCCTACTGACAAGTAGCTGGCTAACGCTGTCCTTACATGTTCTGTTACTGCCACCTTGTTGCAATCCTGGAATATGCTGAAGGCTCGGAATGGGCATTTTTTGCGAACGGCTTGAAAATGGGAAGGGGGGATTTTCTTGCCTCTCACCCTGTTCTGAAGCTCAGCACAGACTGAGAACAGGATAAGAGGCAGGAAAATTCTTTCTCCCTATTTTCAAGCCATTCGCAAAAACGCCCCATTCCAAGCCTTCAGCAAATTCTAGAATTGCAACATTGAACATTGATTGCAACAAGGCGGTGGCGGCGGGACACATCAGTATAGTGCCGGCTAGCCACTCATCAGTAGGCTGCCCTCCTGGCCAGGTCTGGCCGTGAGAGGCACTGGCAGGCAACGGCGATGGGACCTCCAGTCGCAGCAGTGTGGCCGGGCCTGGTGCAAAGGTGGCCATGGCAAGGCATGATGCAGAGTCCTGGGAAGCATGTCTGGAAGCATGTGCACAGCCGCAGGGATGAACAGTTGATGAGTGGTTGTTTTGTGCTGCCGCTGGAAGTCCTGCTCTTTTTGCAGCTGCCACTAAGAGAAGGGACGCAGTAGGTAGGGTTTACGGGAGCTGCCTCCACGAGGCCATTCTGTGTGGATCGCAAGTGCATATGGGGCACATCGGTCATGTCTCCCCCGAGGAAATGACGGGGATGGCTGTGCAGGCACTTCCAAGACCTTATTTTCGGGGGAGGGCTTATTTTAGCGCATGCACTCAAAAGCCCGATTGGCCTTATTATCTGGAGAGCTCTTAGTTTCGGGAAAACATGGAAGTAGCTACCTTAAAGCTTCCAAAATTCTACTGCGGCCATTACGAGCAGAACGGGGTCCATCTGGAGTTGTTGGAGAATTCTCAAAACCATTCCGAGATAAAGAGTTCCTTTGTCTTTGCAACTTTGCTAATGATGTGGCAGTCATGATTTCTTGGAGCTGCTTCTGAAAGTTTGCCCTCATTTCCAATGTCTGTGTTAAAACTTAGATACAAAAAAATTATCAATAAAGAAACTATTACAATCAAAACACACCTGTGGCCTATTAAAAACTATAACAGATCCCTTTTTATGTGACACTTTTCCCATTCCACATTCTAAAAATTTTAAAAACTCAATAAAAAATTCTAGTACACAAAACGTTACCTCCTTTTGGTTCATGCTCCTTTTGTTCAACCTCATTTATTTGATCAATAATAACTTTTTTTGTATCGTTATCATTCAGTGAATTATTCTGAAATAATTGAATAACAAAACAAATCAGTGTTAAAAAATTACATACAAAAAGGCATGGGCAAAAAACTCAAATAAAACACTATAGGCATCAGAAACATTGAAATAGAATAGAATAGAATAAGAGTTGGAAGAGACTTTGGAGGTCTTCTAGTCCAACCCCTGCTTAGACAGGAAATCCTATACCAGGGGTGTCAAACTCGATTTCATTGAGGGCTGCATCAGGGTTGTTTGACCTTGGGAGCCTGGTTGGCCATGGCCAGCTCAACATCACTCGTGTCAGGGACCCTTGTGCTGGCTTGAGTGCTTGCAGCCCTACCGAGCTCCGTTTTCACTGGCAGAGGGTTGCAGGAGACCGTCGCAGCCAAAAACGGAGCTCAGGAGGACTGTGTGCATCCTCTGGAGCTCTGTTTTCACTGGCAGAGGCACTGCGGACCCATCCTTTACTGTTTCAAGGGCAGCCCTGTGGGCCAGATCTACGCACTCCATGGGCCAGATCCGTCCCCCGGGCCTTGAGTTTGACACCCCTGACCTATATCATTTCAGACAAATGGTTATCCAATCTCTTCTTTAAAAAAATCCAGTGTTGGAAAATTTACAACTTCTGGAGGCAAGTTATTCCACTGATTAATTGTTCCAACTGTCAGGAAATTTCTCCTTCTCCTAGTTCTAAATTGCTTCTCTCCTTGATTAGTTTCCACTCATTGCTTCTTGTCTTGCCCTCAGGTGCTTTGGAGAATAGCTTGACTCCGTTTTCTTTGTGGCAGCCCTTGAAATATTGGAACCACTGCTACCATGTCCTTCTTTTCATCAAACTAGGCATATCCAATTCCAGCAATGTTCTTTATATGTTTTAGCCTCCAGTCTCCTAATCATTTTGTTGCTCTTCTCTGCACTCTTTCGAGTCTCAACATCTTTTTTACATTGTGGTGACCAAAATAGTTTAGTTTAGTTTAGTTTAGTTTATTTGATTTGTATACCGCCCTACTCCCGAAGGACTCAGGGCAGTGAACAGCCAACAATAAAATACATAAATACACAAAATTTAAAAACCCGATAAAATCAAATTAAACTTTTTGGCCCAGACAAATTAAAATACCCCAATAATTTAAAAACAGATTAAAATTTACATATTTAAAAAGGGAAGAGATCAGGCCAAGCCCGCTTGATGGAATAAAAAGGTCTTCACAGCACGGCGGAAGGAGCGCAGATCCGGGATCCTCCGTATCTCCGGGGGGAGCTCATTCCAGATGATAGGTGCCCCCACAGAGAAGGCTCTCCCCCTAGGGGCCGCCAGTTGACACTGTTTGGCTGACGGCACCCGAAGGAGTCCCTCTCTATGAGAGCGTACTGGCTGGTGGGAGGCTATTGGTGGTAGTAGGCGGTCCCGTAAAATAGAATGGTTTGATTTTTTTTTAGAGAACTACAGCAAAGTGAGGATGTATGTGTCTATGTGTGTGTACACATAACTTCTAACTTAAAAACAGATCTGTTGGGAGGACATGGCTAGTGTCATGGTCGGATGACGCGTCCCTTGGGCACTTTGGGGGACAGCGCTGAATCCAGCTGCCCAACAGTCTGTTTGGATTGGAATCGCCTCGAAGGAGTGAGGAACGAAGAGAGCACGCTCTGCCGATCTCAGGGAGTCCACAAACTCCCTGATTGATCCAGAGAAGGCTCCCAAACCCGACGGAATGGAAAAGGTGACCATTGCATGCTGGACCAAAGCTGGGGAAGCTACAGGAAGGAAGCACTGAAGAGAGAGACTGTCAGTGTGATCGATCTGGTGAGCGATTTCCAACTTAAGACTTTTTTTACTAGAATTGAATTAAGAGTCCTCCTGGGAAGTAGGTCTCCAAAAAGGAGGTGGATTTGTTTTTTCTTTCCACCTCCCCTGTGAAGCGGTGAGAAGAGCTTTTTAAGCAGTTTTTGGAACAGGAAGTGAGGCTGGAGAAACTTTTAGAAAAGAGTGAAAATACCTTTTATTAAAAGCTGGATTGGATATCTCAAATATATTTTGGGATTGTAGAAAAGTTTGAATTCCACAACACTTGGATAAACTGATTTGTCTTCTTTGCTACAATTTCAATTTATTTTTCCCAAATATTAAACCGGATATACTATTTCAAAGAAAAAGGATAGGAGGAAGAGAGAGTAGCAGAGTCAGAATGCCATCTACTGACAGAAGTTGGAAGTGGAGATTGGGAGCTGCAGCTGCAGCCAGCCTTGAGAAATTGTGTAAATAAAGATATGAATTGACTATTAGAAATAATCTTGGTGTTACAAATTGGTCAGATTGAAAATTGAAATAGAGAGAGTAAGACTGAAACATGTTGTTTTTAAACAGCTTAGCTCTTGAAATTCAAAGGGAAAAAGGCAGTAAAAGACTTTAATTTTTTTTCTTCTTTCTCCTTTTTTTCTGGCTCTGTGAACTCTGAATACTTTCTTAGGCAATACAAAACAACTGGGTTTGGTGGGCCTATATGGATTACAATTTATTGATGTACTATCCTTTTTGACTGGATATTAAAGGATTAGGGTCTGAAGAACCAGAAGAAAACAACAAGCAGAAGAAAGGGGGTCAAAACATTGAAAATCTTGGAACCTTTGGATTTTTAGATTATAAGTGATTTGTGGTTTTACTTTTGGTTTTTTGTCTGCTCCCTGTTTTCTTTTCTTCTTCTTTTTTCTTTCTTTTTTTTGTCTTTGGGTTATAATTGGATACTTGGATAATTGGGAAGTATTTTATCAATGGTTGGAGAATAAAAAAGGAGTTTGGAAATGAAGAAGGCTAAAAAATAAATAGAAAATACATTAAGATAGAGATATAAATAAGATGAAAATTGTTAGTAGATGTATGATGAGAATAATGATGTTTAATGTTAATATAGTATTATCACTAGAAGATATTAAGAAGAAAATGGAAAGCTTTACAATGTTTAATTGTTTAATATACTATAACATTAAGTTTAGAGAAATAATGTGAATGTGAATGATGTTGTAAATGGTGAAAGAAGTTGCATAGAAATGCTTGTACCCAGACAACACACTGCTTAAGGAAAGATGGAATGTTTATCTTTGTAACTGAAAAAAAAATATATATATATATATATATATATATATAAAAAACAGATTTGTTATAAGCTAGTAATATATCATTAGCAAGTTCAGGATTTAGAAACATTTTATTTGCTCAACCCTAGTTAGGATAGAGCAGGGGTGTCAAACTGGCGGTCCGCTGGCCAGATGCGTTACGTGCAGTCCACACCCACCCAAACTCTGTGAATGGGAAAAACGTCACCAAACATCACATGACAGCAATGTGATGCAGTGAGTTTGACACCATGGGATAGAGCTATAACCCAAAGTATTCTATATTCAAAGCATTACTGGACTGAAGTATAAAATTTTAAACTTTTTTTAAAAAGTTACACATTTTAATAATGATGGTCTGATTATTTCTGTTATTCTATAGCAAGCAATGTTTTTAAAGTTCGGTATTATTTTAGCTCAAGTATGAATGAAAACAAATCAGAAAACAATTGTTGTTTATACATACAGATTAATATTATCAAACTAAATGGAAGAATAAAGTGAAAAAAATATATACTTTGTCTCCTTTCCCTTCTTTTCCAGCAGCATCAAACCTTTGTGAGAATCTGTCATCTTCCACACCACTAATATTCAAACTCATTTTAGGATTATATGTATGAGGATAAAGAGATTCAGCTAATCGTTTGTATTCTTGTGCACTCTGGGAAGAAAGAAAAGGTCAGATAAAGAGATTAATGCCACCACTTCAGAACAATAAATGGATAAATAAATAAATATTGTTAATAAATATTTTCTTCTTTCCTGCCTAATGGATAATAAACAAAGGATTACTTTTTTACCCACAGAAAGTTCCAGTAAAGATGAATTACTTAAGTGTCCTAGATCACAGCCCCCAACCTTTTGGGCACCAGGGACTGGTTCCGTGGAGAGAGGTTTTTCTGTGGACCAGAGTGGGAGTAGTTTTGTGTGCTGCCTGCACCCCACCAATGGAACTTTGCTTGCTTGTGCAGTCCAGTTTCTGGCATGCTGCGTACCTATGCCATTCTTCGGACCAGGGGTTGTGGACCACTTCCCTAGATAATCACTAATCAAAGCTCACTTGATCAGATGCATGAGATTAGAAAAGTAAGAGGCAGCCCAAAAGTGATGTACCATATTTTTCGCACTATAAGACACTCCAGACCATAAGACACACCTAGCTTTTGGGGAGGAAAACAAGAAAAAAAAATCTGCCTCTGCCTCCATCTCCCAGCAATTTGTCTCCTTGCAGTAAACAGCAAACAGCCTGGTCAGCTTCAGCACAGCCTGATTTAGCACAAGCAGCTGATTGGTGGTTGGATCAGCCTCCCAGAATACCACCTATCAGCTGTTCCAGGCAGTGGGGATCACTGCCACCCACTACCACCTCCATGCGCCCCATTTTCAGCCTCCGCGCATCCCATTTCCAGCCTGTTCAACAGTGGGGATTGCCACTACCACCTATCGCTGCTGCGATCCCTGTCGCCTGGAACGGGCCAAAAATAGGACATCCAGAGGCCAAAAATGGGGTGCGCGGAGGCAGCGGTGATCCCTGCAACCTGGAACATCTGATCAGCAGTATTCCGGGAGGCCGATCCAACCGCCAATCAGGTGCTCGTGCTAAATCAGGCTGTGCTGAAGCTGACCTTGCTGTTTGCTGCAAGGAGGCAAATTACTGGGAAGCAGAGGCCGAAGGGTGGGAGCCGGCGGGTGGGCAGGGCATTTGCTCTATAAGACACACAGACATTTCCACCCACTTTTTTGGGGGAGGAGTGCGTCTTATAGACTGAAAAATATGGTAATGCAAGAAGAAATAATTTATTACACTTCTGATCCCATCTTTCCAGTCTTATCTTTTGGGGGAAGGAAAAAAATTAAGACTTTAATTGCGTGACATCATCATCTCCATTATAGTACTGCTGCCGCTGCCACCAATGCTACTATTGCTGAAGAAGGAATGCAGAATTTCTTCATTCAAATACAGAAGATAAACTGTTTCCAACGCAGGTAATTTAAGTCTTTATTCTGCAATTCCCAAACCAAGTATAACATTTTTATTTCTGTCACATTTAAGGTCTCAAATTAATCAGTGGCTTTTCACAATTCCCACCATTATGAACCGGTTTCCTTTACCTTTTATGGAAATCACAGCTATCATATTATAAAATGTCTACAATAAAAGTAAAACAAATAACAAAATAATTGGAATGGAGATGGGCAAATTATGGCCCTTATTTTAAAAGGACATAAACATAGGCACACATAAAAAGAATGTACTGTATGAGTCTTTAAAACAAAGAACAGTAAAAAAGAGAAAATCATTTTTCTTTTGAAGGGACCATGTATGGCTAATTTTATTTGTGCAAGTTATATCCTTCCCTAGCAATCTACTAATTAGAGGAGGAAGGAAAAACAGACAGTGTTTGTAAATTAGAATGAGATCTTAGATAATTTTTGCGTCAGTGGCTTGTCTGTTACCTAAGATTCCACTGGACTCCAGTCCCTGAGATATTTTTGCAACAGATTTTATTTTTAAAATTTTAATTTAAACAAGTGTGCTCCACTGTTCAAATACATTCTTTGATTCAGAAACTTCAGTTCTTACTTAACAACATCTATTGTTATCTTTTTAGGACAGTGCTTCATTAGATGGCGAAGAAACAAGATGGCATCAATGAAGGAAGCATTGTTACACACAGGAAGAAAAGTTACTATTAAATTAAAATAAAACGGTAGGAGGTGGAGAAGGAAAGATAAGTCATAGAAAAAGAAAAAAGATTGGAAAAAGGAAAAGGAGAGGAAGATTGGCGAAATTAGGAGAGAAAGAAGCCCAACTGCATCCAAGAGGCCTACCCAAGAGACCAGAGGCCCATTGAAATGAGGTGAGTGGAGAGGCAAATTGCCTGAGGGCATGCCGCAAGAGTAATTTGGAGCTAAACAACTGAATAAGAGATAAATGTTATGAATTAGTTAAATAAATGAATTTAGGAGTGGAGGAAAGCATGATTCTGGAAATCAGTGAAAGCAAAGCTGTGACCCAGTTTTACAAATAAGGTAGGAGTGGAGGAAAGCATCATACTGGAGAACAGTTAAAGTAAGTTGGGAACCAGTTAAAAATAAAAATATAAGTTAGGAGTGGAGGAAAGCATAGCTGGAAAACAGTTAAAGCAAAGCTGTGAACCAGCCAAAATATTGAGTTAGGAGTGGAAGAAAGCATACGCTGGTTAACAGTTAAAGCAAAATTGTGAACTAGCTAAAAATAAAAAGTTAGGAGTGGAGGAAACTATACCTGGGGATCAATTGAAATAAAGTTGTGAAGCAGTTAAAAATAGGGGTAGGAGTGGAGATAAGCATTGCTGGAAAGCAACTACTTGAGTTGTGAACCAGTTTTATAATAGATTTAGGAGGAGTTAAGGAGAAGGTTGGTGTGCAGTTAAAATTATACTGTGAACCAGCTAAAATAATTAAGATAAGGAGTGGAAGGAAGCATTGCTGGAAAGCAGCTGATTAAGATGTGAACCAGCTAAAAAATAAATTTAGGAGGAAGTGAAAGAGATTTTACCAGAGAATAGTACCTAAGCTGTGAACCAGTTTAAATAAATACAGATAGGAGTATTGGAAAATACAGCTGGGAAATAGATATTTAAACTATGAACCAGTTAAAAATTAGATTCAATAAAATATGAGAATAAACTTGAAATAAATAAAATAAAGTATTGTGGAAGTAACAAACTATAAAAGGAAATGTTGATTGTTTATGAAATGACTTTAAGAGAGGAGGAAAATACTTTTTGTCAAGATTATGGATATTAGATGTCATTTAAGAGAAGTAAAATATAGATTTGAGGTAATGGGTTTTAGGATTGAGGAATATATATGAAACATTGATTGTTAAAATGATAAAGATTTAGAACAGTGTTTATTGCTTAGAATTTTGGGTGTAATAGTAGAATGATAAATGTTTAGAATAAGATTTTCTTTCTTTCTTTTTTTTTTTAAGATGTAAATTGATAAAATTTGGAACAAAATTGATTGAGGGAATGTGAATAATTGTACTTATTTTATGCCGGACCAAACCCTTGCTCTAAAATGATATATTTTATGTTTTATGTTTAAAAAAAATGAAAAAAAAATGAAAAAAAAACCAAAACCCAACCGGCAGTGAGCAAGTGGCAGCTGCAGAGCAGGGCAGAAAATCAGCTGTGGGATGGAGAGGCCAGCAGACCGAGGGCAGCGGAATGACCAGCAGAGAACAAAGAGGTGCAGATGAGAGAGTAGAGCAGGGAAGAGAGAGAAGATAGGTAAGCTTGCTGGTGATCATCCAGGCAGTCTTGTTTGCTGGTGGAAGCAGTGTCCCCAGGGCAACGGACCAGCAAATGGGAGCCACATAGCTGCAGAGCAAAAAGCAGTGGCAGCGCAGCAGAGAGAAGAGCCAGCAGCAGGAAGGGGCAGCACAGTGAGCTAGAGCCTGAGAGCAGTGCAGAGAACAACGGGGAAAGATATGGTGGAGCTGAGTGGCAGGCTGAGCATAGACCAGATAGTGGAGCTGAGCCAACTGGAAAGCTCAGCAGGCCAAGAAAGCTGACCAGAACAGAGACGAGGCCAAAAAGACCCGAGCACCAAAAGACAGAACAGAGCTGGCAAAGAAAACAAGAGGCCAGAGCAACGAACAACAAAAGTGCAGGCAACAATTTAAGTCTGAGGTCCCAATAGGCAGGGAGGAAAGACCCCAGTAGAGAATAAAAATAAATACAAAACAGAAAATAAAAGATAAATAAATAGGCAAATAATAAGGACAAGAGTGGAACACTAGAAATTAAGGAAAAATAAGTTCAATCAAATAAATAAGGCAAATCTTAAATAATAAGGTAGGGAGGAACAGCAGCTCAAAAACTTTAAAAATATATAGGGAAGAAAAGGATAAATAAAACTAACATAAGCAAGTTAAATAAATAACAAGGTTTTAAAACAAGCACAAAAAGTCATAAAAAAGGATAGGGGGGGGGAAAAAAAAAAGAAAAACATAATTTTTTACCTTTAAAAGAACCAGCAAAAAGAAACAAACTCATGGAACAGGTGACTGATACTATTGTGGTATGCAATATATGTTCCATGTTTGTGCTTATGAGCAAAGAACATCCAAATTATAAATGTATTAAATGTAAAATTTGTGAACTACTAGAGGAAAAAGTAAGGGATCTTGAGGCAACTCTAGCCAAACTCCAACCTACGCAAGAAAGCTATACCCAAATCAAACCAATAATGAACAAATAATTCCCAGAGAATTTAACCCTGCTGATAAACCCTTGGAAGACAAATGGAAGTTTGTCACATATACCATGTTTCCCCGAAAATACGACCTACCCTTAAAATAAATCCTAGCCTGTTTTTTTGGGATGGGCCTAATTATAAGCCCTACCCCCAAAATAAGCCCTAGTGAAGTGGGTGGACTTGGTACAACAGTCAGCCCTTCCCTTCCCTGGTCACCTCATGGCTGCTCAGCCCCTTAATCACAGCCTGTGGATCAGCTGAGCCAGTGAGAGCCGCGAGTTCTGTCTCTCTGGGCTCCTGGAGATATTTCTAGCACATTCTTGCTAGCCACAGCCCTGCCCACGGCACCAGGCATCCTCACAGTCAAAGGCCCTTCTATTCTGCAGCTCACCTTGTGGCTCTGGAGCAGGC